AAATTCTGTCCCGAGAGCCCAAGTGTGCTTATTTAGATCTTTTGTTTTGAACGACCAACAGTCCCAAACCCAAAGACTTTCAGTTTATCGGTGGATAAGCCTTAGAAAACCAGCAGAAACTGACATCTGAGAAGCTGGAACCAGCACATTTTTGCTGTTCTTCTATTCCATATTTTCCATATTTATATATTTCTACATTTATTTATGTTGACTGTATGTCTGTCTGCGTGTAGCACCTCATCACCACAGCAAATTTCTCGTATGTGTAAAACACTGCTTGGCAATAAAGCTGCTTCTGATTCTGATTCTTCTGATTTTTAAGACCATTTCTTTGTGAACCTCCCTGACCACAGGAACACATTGTGTTAAAACAGGAAATGACCTTAATCACAAAGTTGGAAGCGCTGTTGAAAAATAGCCTCGGGCAAAAAGTATATGCTCAGGTGTCCACATACTTTTGGCCATATAGTGTATCTCTAGCTGCTAACTGGTCCTCTATGTTCACCAGCTGTTTGCTGATGAGCAGCTCGTGTACAGCTGCCTTTTCCAGCTTCTTCTTCTCTTGAAACGACACTCTGAGAGCGCTGAGAGTGAACCAGAGCAGGAACGCTGCAGCCGGACAGAAAAACAACCAGCTGATCAGTTCAGTTTATTATCATACTTGAGACAGAAAAGCATCCTCACATCTGAGAAGCTGGAACTACAGGACTAAAACAATAACCAATGATCAAAATAGTTTTTCTGTTGATTGACTAATTGATATAAATATAAAATAGATTTAAATACAATAAAACAAGAAAATAAAAAGATCAAACAGGAGGGTAGAAATTAACCAAAAACCTCAACTCTGATTCAATCAAAGGTAAAAAGAAAAGTCTTCAGCTTTCTGGGAGTTTGTTCCATAAAAGCTGAACGCTGCTTCTCCCGGTTTGGTTTGGACTCCGGGGACAGAAAGCAGACCTGATCCCAGACGACCTGAGAGGTCTGGATGGTTCCTAACGTAGCAGGAGTTCAGCCCTGAACCATTCTCTGCTTTACAAACCAGCAGCAGGATTTTAAAATCAATTATTTGACAGACAGAACATGTGCACCGCAGTAATTTATTTTATTAATGTAAAATAGTTTAGATTAGCTCCACCTGGGCCAAGTACAACAAACAAATCCAGTTATATAATATAAAGTACTCACATGGGACCCAGTTCTGCATAATGAGTACTTTTACTTTTGATACTTCCAAGTACATTTTGCTTTTTTACCAAAGTAATATTTTCAATGCCGGGCTTGTACTTTTCAGTATTTTCAGCGCTGTGTGTGTTGCTGCTTTTCTAAAGTAAAGGATGATAAGGATCTTAAGTAAATGCATCAGAATAGCAACACGGATAAAAACAGATGTTTTTTTCTCGCAGGAAGTCTTTGAAAACATGCGGTGGTGAAGTGTTGAAGTCTGCAGCGCTGTGATTCCTCGTGGTGTTATTTATCAATTTAACACTGTTGTGTTTTCTGACACTCGGCTGCTTTTTATTCCCGCCGAGCCTCCTTTAAAACAGACCTGACCGACACACACCTGAGCCGCCGTCCTCCTCATCCGCAGACTCTCTAAGCCGCCGTCCACCCGGCTAAACGCCGCGAGTCGGAAGAATTAGCTTTCAACAAACTGGCCTACAAATGAGGCATTAAGCATTGGTAATGGGGGTGCAGAAAGGTCACGGCTGTATTAATCTGCCGTCTGGGGAATACACCCCTGAGCTGAGAAACACAGAGACCGAGAGAGAGCAGGCAAGTTTCCAAAAACAAACCCTGAGCCTGAATAAATATTTATCTCTGCCCGGGCCATCATATTGATCATAAAGTGTTTTAGGAAACAAAACGAGCAGGAAAATGAGATTGATGTAAAAATATTCAGCGGTTGCTTTGAGCGTTTCCCCCTCGGACACTTTGAGCTTCTCCGGGCTGAGAGCAGAGGTCGCTTCCTGCAGGAACATCGATTTTATTTCAGGATCAACGAGGATTTTTATCCACTTTTTCCTAAAATCAGCTGCTGACATTAAGTCAGTGATGTTTTTCTGTTTACACACTCAGTAAAAGCCTTTTTATATTCGCAGATGTTTCTGAAGCACATCATGAGACAATAAAACAGCACTACATCAAAAGTACACGGTCAACATGTATATTTCCATTAAAGGAGAAACGCCTGTCTTCTGTCTTTTTGAAGCCTCAAACCAACATTGATTTGTTGATTCTCGATAAGTAGTTTTGTTTAAAAGAGTCATCAGAATTGCGAAGTGTAACAGTTTGTTGTATTCCTGTATACTTGCACTTTACCATATTATCTTTGCTTTGACATCTTTTGTATGTGGTTTCTGGCATAACTTATAATCTTTTATCTCCGAGTAAGACTGATTTTAGACGTTCTGTTAGTTTCAGCATGTTTTTTTCATGAGTGTGCGTTGTCTTACACCATTACCAAAAAGTCTGCACAAGATTTAATTCCCCCCCCCGCCACAGTATTAAAAGGTTGTTTCACATTTTTACCAGAAATACATAAATCTATATCATCTGCAAATAGAATACATATTTTACTTATAAATTAACAATGATGGGCCTGACATGGAGCCCTGGGGAACTCCACACATTTTTAATTCCTGTTACCTTTTCTGTTTTTTCTCATTCATGTTTGTAGCCTCAAAATAAAATCTCTCAGCGGCTTTTAGTCCAGTTCTTAGCTTAGCTGGTTCATTTCTGTGTGCAGACCTTCCCTATTAGCTCAGGGTTTTCTGCCAAACCACACGTGATAATAGATTAGACTAAAACGAGTTAGTGCATGTATGAATGGAAATGAGGTTAGACTGTTATAATGAGGCTTCACAACCAGCAGATAAGATATCAAAGATGCCTTCGCTTTCATTCAATATTCTTGACCAACTAATTATATAGAAATAATACCAGATCGATCAACAATCTGTTACAGATAATAAAGATCTAGACTTTACACGTGTCAGAAATCTCATGGATTCACACTTTAATTTGTACAAAATCCACCACAGTCAGCATGTTACCAACTCAAAAATGTCCAAACTTGATGTAGAAGAACTATTCGTATCATTTAAGTGGTTATTTAAATAGTTTAAGGGATCGAAAATGCTCACTGATGACAATTATGCTCTAGTCATCCAGCTGACACAAGGATGTGCGTCTCACTTTGACATTTTATAAGTTAAACAAATCAGAGATGCAGTCAGGTGGAAGGCGTTGTGTTTCTCGGACAACTGCAGATACGTTTTGGGGTCCTGTGTTTGTGCTCGCGCAAGACGTTTGTTTAAATTTGTGACACGTGTTAAAATAAGTGCACGGAAATGACGTCATGTTGCAAACACTGCAGTAGCTTTCATTTTGCACATTCTGTAAAAAAAAACAAAAAACTCGCCGTCGTCCACTTGAGAGAAAATAGTTTTACGTTAGCTGGAGGTCAGTGTGGTGATTGTAGTGTTGTTGTTTGGGAAGTCCAGTCTGAAGGTTGATCAGACACCAGAACACTGGACAGAGGTTCGTGTTAACCTGACTTCAGGAATGGACTCTGTGGTTGTGAACAGTAGACCTGAACTCCAGACTTCAGGTGTTCCTTAAAGAACATTATGATGATCCACACAGACATTTTCTAATAATGTGTGGAGACAGATAATGCCTTCCTCCTCCTCTCTGACTCTCTGACTCTCAGACTGAAGGAACTCTCCTGGGTTTTAGCCTCTGTCTCTACAGTTTTTCTAGCTTTTATGTGAAAGGTCGCGCTTATAGAGAGGAGGCCACACACACTCACACACACGATAAATCAATTCAGTGCAGTTTCCTCCCCGTTTCAGTCAGAATGATCACCTGAGTAGTTTCCCACTCGCTGCTCCTCCTCCATCACTGTCCTCCTCCTGCATGTTATTTTCACACATAAAAACAGTTTAATATACAGTTCATTAAATATGTATTTATTATTTATTTAGGAAAAGAGGTTGGTTTGTGTTAAAATAAGTACATTAAGTAAGTCACGTGACGTAAGTTGTCTACAAAACATTATTTAACTTAACTTGACTCTCCTTCTTTCACACGGGACTCTGACCTCGGTCTCCTAAAGCTGGGCGAACACTGCACAACTTTAAAGATCTTGTTGTTTCATTCCAACTCACACTGTTCGAGTTAATCCACTGCGATGTAAAGCCAAAGCTCACGATGTAGGTGCTCCCACTGTACGGTCCGACGGTCAGCCGCGACCTGACTGATCCCACTGTGCGTGTATAAAACAGCCTGTCGGACTCTGCGCACCGTGCTAATTGTTGACAATAGTCAATAAAGATTTCTTTGAATGCTCAGAGGAAGGTAGAAGTTTGTTTGTTAGCAATAATGCTAACAGGGCAGAAACGTGCTGCCTTGATCAGCCGTGTGGTGAAATGTCTAAAAAAAGAGGTGCTGGGAAGATGTGAACTGCACGCTATGTTAATTTTTCAAAGAGAAATGGAGGTAAACTAGCAACATTTTACTGTACAGATTGTTAACTTGATAGCACGTCAGAAATTTGTCCGACGGCCGTTCGGGAGCAGCTAGAACACCAGCTAAAACCACCTGAACAAATCCCACCTCCTCCCTTGAGGCCTCGCTCTAAAGCCTCTCCACCGGATGTCAGCATGTAAATAGAATTTAACAAGTAGAACTAAAAATGCTTCTGAAATAAACTACCTACTTTACCTTTAAGTACAATACTAAGGTACTTGTACTTTACCAGAGTATAACCAGTTTCTGCAGTTTTAGACTACTACATTTCAGAGGCCAATGTTGTACTTTTTACTTCACCACATTTATGTTTTATACATTTACAGCAGTAAATGTTTATATACTAAGGTGATGTTAAAACAGTGCTTCTGTCCCAAAGCGATATGACGGCCTCGGTTATTCATGTGCAGATATGTGTTTGTGGAGGTTTAAAATAATAAAATATTCTTTCTCTGTCTGTGTTTCAGCGGTGTGGGTTTAGCCCGAGCGCACTTCGAGAAGCAGCCTCCGTCCAACCTGAGGAAGTCCAACTTCTTCCACTTCGTGCTGGCGCTCTACGACAGGCAGGGTCAGCCGGTCGAGATCGAGAGGACTTCCTACGTAGACTTTGTGGAGAAAGACAAGGTGACTGTTACTTCTTTCAGCTTTTTAGGTCCCAGTGCGAGAGACAACTTATTATTCTATCCCGTTTGAACCGTGCCCTGAATTACACACATGATGTTTGTCAGTTTCAAAGATAATTTAAGTCAAGAAGTTCGCAGTTTGTTGTAAAACTATGAAGTTAGATTTAATTTAGTGTGAAACCGCTCAATGAACTACATCTCTCGTCTCAAACAATATACATCACCAACATGTTGCGCTGTAATGCTAAGTTAACGGTCATCTCTTGGTTGCTACTAGCTAGGTGGCACATCATCTACACATGAAAGCTCTTTGACGTTAGCTACAGTGACATTAGCAACAGTAATGTTAGCTTCAGTAACATAAGCTTCATTAACATTAGCTTCAGTGACGTCCGCTTAAGTGACGTTAGCTACAGTGACGTTAGCAACAGTAATGTTAGCTTCAGTAACATAAGCTTCATTAACATTAGCTTCAGTGACGTCCGCTTAAGTGACGTTAGCTACAGTGACGTCAGCTTCAGAAACGTTAACTTCAGTGAGGTTCATTTCAGTGACGTTAGTTTTAGTAACCTAACGTTAACTTTGGGAATGTCCCTTGCAGTGGCATTCGCTTCAGTGACAGCTTCAGTAACTTAACGTTTATTTCAGTGACATTAGCTTCATTGACGTTAGCGTCAGGAACCTATCGTTAGCTTCCGTGAACCTTCATTTCAGTGACGTTATCTTCAGTGATGTTGGCTTCAGTGACTTTAGCTTCTGTGACGTTAGCTTCAGTGATGTTAGCTTCAGTAACCTAATGTTTATTTCAGTGACGTTGGCTTCAGTGACTTTAGCTTCAGTGACGTTAGCTTCAGGAATGTTCATTGCAGTGACGTTCGCTTCAGTGACAGCTTCAGTAACTTAACGTTTATTTCAGTGATATTAGCTTCAGTGATATTAGCTTCAGTGACATTAGCTTCATTGACGTTAGCTTCATTGACATTAACTTCAGTGACGTTAGCTTTAGTAATCTAACGTTAACATCGGGAATGTTCCTTGCAGTGACGTTCGCTTCAGTGACAGCTTCAGTAACTTAACGTTTATTTCAGTGACATTAGCTTCATTGACGTTAGCGTCAGTAACCTATCGTTAGCTTCCGTGAACCTTCATTTCATTGACGTTAGCTTCAGTGATGTTGGCTTCAGTGACTTTAACTTCAGTGACATTAGCTTCAGTAACCTAATGTTTATTTCAGTGACGTTAGCTTCAGTGACATTAGCTTCAGTGACATTAGCTTCAGTGATGTTAGTTTCAGTAACCTAATGTTTATTTCAGTTACATTAGCTTCAGTGACGTTAGTTTCAGTAACCTAATGTTTATTTCAGTGACGTTAGCTTCAGTGACATTAGCTTCAGTGACGTAAGTTTCAGTAACCTAATGTTTATTTCAGTTACGTTAGCTTCAGTTACGTTAGCTTCAGTGACATTAGCTTCAGTGACGTTAGTTTCAGTAACCTAATGTTTATTTCAGTTACGTTAGCTTCAGTGACGTTAGCTTCAGTGACGTTAGCTTCAGTGACGTTAGTTTCAGTAACCTAATGTTTATTTCAGTTACGTTAGCTTCAGTAACCTAATGTTTATTTCAGTGACGTTAGCTTCAGTGACATTAGCTTCAGTGACGTTAGTTTCAGTAACCTAATGTTTATTTCAGTGACGTTAGCTTCAGTGACATTAGCTTCAGTGACGTTAGTTTCAGTAACCTAATGTTTATTTTAGTTACGTTAGCTTCAGTGACGTTAGTTTCAGTAACCTAATGTTTATTTCAGTTACGTTAGCTTCAGTGACATTAGCTTCAGTGACATTAGCTTCAGTGACGTTAGTTTCAGTAACCTAATGTTTATTTTAGTGACTTAGCTTCAGTGACATTAGCTTCAGTGACGTTAGTTTCAGTAACCTAATGTTTATTTCAGTGACGTTAGCTTCAGTGACATTAGCTTCAGTGACGTTAGTTTCAGTAACCTAATGTTTATTTCAGTTACGTTAGCTTCAGTGACATTAGCTTCAGTGACGTTAGTTTCAGTAACCTAATGTTTATTTCAGTTATGTTAGCTTCAGTGACGTTAGTTTCAGTAACCTAATGTTTATTTCAGTGACGTTAGCTTCAGTGACATTAGCTTCAGTGACATTAGCTTCAGTGACGTTAGCTTCAGTAACCTAATGTTTATTTCAGTGACGTTAGCTTCAGTGACATTAGCTTCAGTGACGTTAGTTTCAGTAACCTAATGTTTATTTCAGTGACATTAGCTTCAGTGACATTAGCTTCAGTGACGTTAGTTTCAGTAACCTAATGTTTATTTCAGTGACATTAGCTTCAGTGACGTTAGTTTCAGTAACCTAATGTTTATTTCAGTGACGTTAGCTTCAGTGACATTAGCTTCAGTGACGTTAGTTTCAGTAACCTAATGTTTATTTCAGTGACATTAGCTTCAGTGACATTAGCTTCAGTGACGTTAGTTTCAGTAACCTAATGTTTATTTCAGTGACGTTAGCTTCAGTGACATTAGCTTCAGTGACGTTAGTTTCAGTAACCTAATGTTTATTTCAGTGACATTAGCTTCAGTGACGTTAGTTTCAGTAACCTAATGTTTATTTCAGTGACGTTAGCTTCAGTGACATTAGCTTCAGTGACGTTAGTTTCAGTAACCTAATGTTTATTTCAGTGACATTAGCTTCAGTGACGTTAGTTTCAGTAACCTAATGTTTATTTCAGTTACGTTAGCTTCAGTAACCTAATGTTTATTTCAGTGACGTTAGCTTCAGTGACATTAGCTTCAGTGACGTTAGCTTCAGTAACCTAATGTTTATTTCAGTGACATTAGCTTCAGTGACGTTAGTTTCAGTAACCTAATGTTTATTTCAGTTACGTTAGCTTCAGCGACGGTAGCTTCAGTCATTCAAAAAAAACAACAAATGCGTATTTTCAGTGTTATACTTAAACACTTTTACGACAAACTGCGTTTCTCTTGACTTAAATTATCTTTTAAACTGACAAAAATCATGTGTGTAATTCAGGGCACAGTTCAAACAGGATCTAAACATTAGATGCCGTTTACTACTGAATACATTTATTCAGAAATAAGGTCTTATGGCGGTCCACCTGAAGGGGTGGGACTTATGCTCTCTATACTCACTACTTGAGCACCGAATGTGGATTCACCCGCTGCTGAAAATAGTCCCCAACTATGCACTATTTCCTCCTGATTCTTTGTAAAAACTACAGCGAGCAGCTGTTTCTGTTTAAACATTAAACTATATATCTGTGAAGTGTTCTTAGAGATTTACGTCCTCAGGTGCTCAGAGCCACAGACAGGAAGTCAGGAAGTGTTCAGAGACGCACTGACATGTTGTACGTTTGAGTCTGAACATGAGAAAATAACACCAGACTTTTGTGTTTAACCATATAAAACACAAATACTACTACGACCACTACTACTAATATTACTAATGATAATAATATGCAGACAGGTTGGGAGTGTTTGGTGTTTGATCTGTTGCCAGCTGGCACTAAATACTCCACCCACCCACTCGCTCACCTCACCTCTGCTTTGACCTCTAGTCTCTCGCCCGGATACCCCCCCCAACACACACACACAAACACACACTGGGACTGAGCCAACACTCCCGGGCACCGTTGGCACCGAACGGCCGACTGATGGAGACTGAAAGGAGAGAGGAAAAAGAGAGAGAGAGCTGGAATAGAAAGGGAATAAAGGTTGGAAAGAGAAAGAGAGAAGAAGATGAAGACGGAGAGGAAACAAGACGGGGTGAGAGAGGGTCAGCAGAGATAAATAAACCGTAAAAAGAGATGCTGACGGGGAGTGCACGAGGAGCGAGATGAAGGATATTTTCAGCTCTTCCTCCTGTTTGTACTGGCTGTGGTGGGAGCGCTTCATAACGCCACCGCGACGTCCAGAAGCACAAAGACAGACAACTTCAGCCACCAGGGACTGGGAGTGTTATATCGGTGATAGAGAGACATAGACACAGAATGGACAGACTGGAGAGAGAGGGACATCGTGACCACAGTCTGTATTATAGAAGGAGTCATCACCCGTTGGTTTGTGGAATACCTCCATTTTGCCCGTCGCCATCTTGGTTTTTTGGAACCATATGTGGACGAGAGGGTGGAGCTAGCTAGCTTGTTTAGCAAGGTGCATCTGTAATTCACATTAGCTGGGATGCTAATTTTAGCTAGCGACAAACAGGCTAAAAACAAAACGTACGAGCTTTTTCAGCGGCGCTGGTTAAACGTACACAGAGCAGTAGATACGAGTCGCCTCTATCCTGATTGACAGGTCACCAATCAGCTTGTAGCCCCGCCCTAAAGCCTCCCCTGCTTCCTGGTCTCTGTTCCTCTAAATGGGACCATAATTTACTAAATGAACATCATGCTGTGTTGAAGAAGACTTGAAACTAGCGACTGAGACCAGAAACTCATCAGGAAAGTGTTTACTGAGGGAATAAATCAGCTGACAAGTAGAAACATTTTCTCACAGACTTCTATACAATCACACTTCTTTCTGCAGCCGCTGAGAGGACGCAGGTTTAAGGGTTCACTTTTCAGACCTGGAGGTTCCCCGTTGGTCGTGACTTGGTTGTGGGGGTCAAAGGTCACAGTGGAGGTCACACCAGCAGATATCACCTGCTTCCAAGTGAAACAAAATTTAAAAAAAGGATAACCATAACTGTAATAATCATAACAATTATAATGTCGCAAACAAAACAAAAAACAAACAAATGAAACTTTGAAATGATTTGAGAAAACACTTTAATACGGAAGCCCGTTGCAGCTATAGGAGAAGAATAAAATAACAATGAAAAGGTAAATAAAAGGACAAATGTAGAAAATACTCAAGTGAAATCAAACAGATTTTTTAACTGATGATTATTATGATTATGTTGAGATTATAACATAGGAAAACTTTTAGAAACAAGAATTATATTGGACTCAGGATGTCAAAATCTAGATTTTCTTACTTTGTGTTTGCTTTTTTGACTAAATTTAGATTTTGTCGCTCATTAATTCAGTAATTTAGTAAGTGGAAATGGTTTATCTGATCGTTTTGATTTAACTGATCATTTATTTTTAATTTGTCAGTGAAGACACAGAAAGGAACTGTGGAGAAACACTACGAGGCCATAATTTCTGTTTTTATCATTTCCAACTCCTCATCCCTTTATTTTGCTTTTTGTTATTAGCGGGAATGAGTTTCTCTTCTTCCAGACAAAAAGCACCGGACAGGAGTGGAGACTGTTTCCGGTGTTGGGTGACGCCTGTACATGTTGTAGTAACTGGTCCTGTGATTTGTGTGTTTGTGTGGCAGGAGTACAACGGAGAGAAGACCAACAACGGGATCCACTACAGGCTACAGCTCCTCTACAGCAACGGTGAGCCGAGATGACTGAAGGCTGAATATCTGTGTCGGACACACCTCGCCACGTGCAGATGTGGAGCTAAAATGTAGAGTTGCCTGGGGAGTAATTGTTGGGATGTCTTGATGTGGACCGAAGCGTTCGGATCTGGAAACGGTGCTGAGGAATGACGTCGTCCCGCTGATTAGAAAAATCAGATTAGAAAGAAGTCAGAATGAGAAATTAAATGTTTTATCTGTAATATAATTCAGTAGTTTTTCCTAAAACTAAAGCAGGATTAACGTTTCTGTGGTTCTGTTGGGGCAACTTAACGTATCTGATTAGGGTTCAGGAGACGTGAGAGACCAATGCGGCGTGACGTAACGTCTGTTGTTGCTGGTTCTGAGGCAGGACGAGGATGATGCCACATTTCCTGGATTCAAATCGTAATCCAGGCAACAATAATGTTTCCTCCTAATTCTGTTAAATGAAGCAAAGCAGTCGAATGTAAAGACCCTGCTGGCAGTAGAGGTGGCACACTCTTAAAAAAGTGATTGACAGCGTGAAATTAAAAGTAGTCTAAATGGCAGGACTGTAGGTCAGTGAATGTTCAGGTTTGCAGTATTGATTGATGAAGTTGAGGTAATGACTGGTGTTTCCCCACAGGTGAAACTGCCTGTGCTGGTCTGCAGTTGAACTTTCCTGCATGAATTAGAGTTTGTAGAGAAGGATTTTCTATTAAAGGTCACCTCAGCAGACGTGCAGTGAAGTGAACTGTGCACTTTTTAAGACTGTGAGGCTGGAAAAAACTTTTTCATTATCAGCACACACGGAGAGACAGAGCAGCTTTTCAGACATCTGGAATATCTGACAACCGACCAGACCTGAACTCTGTTTTGTCCATCGGGGGGGAAAGCGGAGGGCTATTTTGCTGATTCAAAACACACAGCTCGGCTTTGTGCTGGCATGAGTCCAGACCTGCAGGAGGAGGACGGCGGTAATGCTCTCAGACCCCCGCAGAAACACCAGATAAAGTGGGACATAAAAGAGCGTTTTCTTCCAAAGGGGGATAAATCACTCTAATATGAGTCGGCATCGTCGGATTAGCATCGTACGGAGGTAATTGACCTCATCTGCAACCGGGACGGATAGCCGCCATTTAGGCTGCAGACTGCTCAGCACTCAGCCGCAGAGCGAGGAGTGAATCATGTCAATTAGAAAGCAGAGGAAGCTGCGAGGAAACGGCCCGAAAAACAAGCAGAAAAAAACACCAAACCCACAGCATCCAATACAATTAGAGCTCCTCCGCCGCTAACAGGTGTTCCCTGCAATTTGCTTCCTCCACCCCATGTCGTGTGCGTGTCACATTTACGCCCGGATGCATAGCTAATAAAAGACAAGCAACCCTGATTGATATTTAATTTGTCAGAGAATGAGGATTCCTTGTTATCCTTGAGGAAAAAGGCAGCGGGGGGCGATGGGGTGGGCGGCGGAGCGCTCGGCAGTTAAAGGCGGCCTGGCCTATAAATAATAAACAGCTCTGGAGCCGCGCTAATGTTTGTTTTTGCTGAGGGGGGTTAGCGTAGCCGGGACGGGATGACGAGAGCTACAGAAAACATAAATACACTACCGGGACATAAATAATAACAGAATTCATTTACAGCACATTATTAGGAATCACATCTTTTGTTGGTGGGGGGATTCTTCTTCTTTTTTATGCATACTGAGATTAAATTAGCATAGCAGGCTAATGCATGCATGTATGTGTGTTGGTGTAAATGTGTCATCAGGCTCCGGCTCAGCCTCAGAGAGATAATTATGAAAGCTGTGTGTGTTTGTGTTTCTCCAGGCATCAGGACGGAACAGGATCTCTTTGTTCGGCTGATAGACTCCATGACCAAACAGGTGAGAGGATACAAACACTCTAAAAACCCCACAAAATGATGTTTAGAACGTGCTATGGTCTCTAAACAACACCCACAACAGGACAACGGCAGGACAACGGCGGCTTAACAAAGATACAGCAAAATACCAGAGGTGGATAAAGTAGTCAGATCCTTTACTTAAGTAAATAAAACTACTAATACTTTGCTGTAAAAACACTCAGGTAAAAGTACTGCATTGAAAATGTTACTTAAGTAATATGATGCAAGTAATAAGGAGGAAAATCAGGAAGGAAAACCTCCTTAAAGTATTAAGAGTACAAGTAAAATGTCTCCTGTGACTGTTCCACTATTATATATTCTATAATAGATTATTATTCCTCATGCATTCATATAAAGCAGGATTTTACTGCTGAGGTTGAACTATTTTGCATCAGACTGATGATTCTTTTTCTTTCTGGATCAATCAGCTGATTATTTTCTCCATTAATTGATTGTAACCCTTCTGTAAATAGTGAGAAATGTTGTCCCAATTGCTCAGAGTCCAAAGAGACTCCAGTCAGTCCAAACCTCAAACTGATCAAAAACACGTTAAAATAATTTAAAAAGTAATTTTCTGTTAACCGACTAATAGTTTCAGCTGTACCTGTTTAAGCTGTTGGAGTTTAAATCACTAAACATCTTTTATAAACTTTTCATGTGTAAAAATCTGACTTTGTAAAGTAACTGAAGCTGTCAGATAAATGTGGTGAAGTAAAAAGTCCAACATCTCCCTCTGAGACGGAGCAGGAGGAGAAAATACTCAGGTAAAGTACAAGTACCTCTCCTTTGTACTTAAGTGCAGTACTTGAGTAAATGTACTTAGTTGCTTTCCACCACTGTGAAATACAACGTACCCCTCAAATAAATGTGTCAAAATAAAATACAGCGAACTGGTGCCAGAAGATGTATCAAGATTAAATACATGTGTTCAGTATTTTTAAAATACAGGAAAATACACTTGTGACATTCTGAATTTGTACTAAATGGCAGAACATTCGGATTTTCTGGTGAACAGTAACAGGAGGAAGAACATGAAGGTGAATTCTACTGTATCCAAGCAAAACTGTAAAAACAACAACAGCACTTAAAATAGCCTGTTCAGTCGCCTTGTCTCTGGAGTTAAGCGCCTCCCGTACAGAAGGAATATTATTCCTGCAGATGAGAATAATCTCTCAAACGGAGCTGGAGAGGGAAGGGCTGTGTTCGTAAAGCTGCGGGTTTCCGTACGCGGTCCAGCCAGATACTACGTTTTGACCTGGTCTAGTTTTTTATGTTTTATGAATCATTGAGAAAGTACTTTGAAAATATAAAATTACTTCACTCTAAAGTTTCTGTTTTCAGCCCCGTCAGATACCAGTTACAAAATACTTGGCAGTAACTGAAATACATATTTATCGTTATCATTTTCCTCTTGTCTCCTTTATTTGTTGTACTTAATGGTATGTTTGATAAATGCTTTAGTTTTTGTTTGTTTTGTTTGTTTTCCCGAGAGCGTTATTTGTTGAAAATACTGCTGATGCTCGGTTATATCAGTGTTGTTAGGTACCCACTGACGTTCAACACAGGAACAGTAGTACGTTGTTTGTGCATCCTGCTCCTTGTTAGCTTAGCTTAGCATAAAGACTGGAAGCTCACTGATGAATGCGTTTAACCCCATTTTGTGGTTTAGTTCCAGCGAGACACCACACCTGTCCTCTGACCGACTGACACTCTAGAGAAGCTCACCTGCCACCCAGCGCTCCACTTATAAAACACTCAACCAGTCAGTTTTTCTGGTCTTCTGTAAACCCTCAGAATTTCCCCTCAAACTCTGTCCTCCTTTCACAAACTTTAACTCCCCGCTTCCTGAAGAATCCCCTCCTCCTCCTCCTCTTCGCCCGTCTTACTTTCCTAAACTCGAGCAGCGCTGATGTGTTTTCCTTTCCAGCGGTGCAGCTCGCTCTTTAGCTGACTCCAGATCTTCTCGTTCCTCCCACTTTTCCGGTTTTCACTCAGTCAGAACGCCGTGTGGGGATTTGAACCTGTGAACGATTTCTCTGCCAAGAAAAGCCCCCAAATATTTCCAAATTCCAGTCGATCCTGGCGGCCGACCTCCCGGCTTCATTCCTGAAGTTTGCTCAGCTCCAGATCCTCCTGCTCCTCACACCTAAAGCTTTACTTCAACAATTTGAATCTTAGAACAAAAATCTAAATGTTCTTTGTGGTATTTATTTTTTTATTTTTTACTAATGGATGCTTTTTTATTAAGTTAATAATATCTGAAAACACAGAGCAAAACATTTAAAACAAGAGCCAACAATAATAAACATTAATAAAAAAAGTAATTAAATAATTAGTTTGATCATTTTTATCAAACTAATATGATTTATATATGATTTATTTTTCTTTTAAATTCAGTTGTCAGCTGCTTTGTAATAAGTTTAATAATGATGTAGTGTTCATGCACTCACATAGTATTTATAGTTTTTTAATTTTGTAAAGTCTTCGTAAAGTTGGAGTGAATCTGTGTTTTTCTGTTCTCTTCTTTTCTTGTTTTGTGAATATTTGGAGCCGTGTTTCATTCCTTGGTTGTTAATGACAGAATCAAGTCAAGTATCAAGTCATATATGCACACTTGCACTAATTTCTGACAAGTTTCTGCACTTCTTTAAACGCAGTTTGAGCGTGAAATTAATCTTAATTGATAAAAGAGCAATAGTAAGAATGCGTCATTTCTAACGTCAGTTTATTTAAAGGCATCTGTGTGAATAACAAACATGTTTCTTAATCTATACTAAACTTCCCTGCTGCACTTGGTGCATCTACCATGTTCATACAGCTGGGAACCCAGAGACCAAACTGACTCCTGTGGTGCATTAAGACGACCTAAAAATGCCTCCCGTGAGCACGAAAATAAAAAGCTCTGTAAACTGGATTCAGATGCAGGCCCCCTCTACAAGACAGGAACACAACAGTTAAATAATAATGGATCCTATCTTCTTAGCGATGTTGTACTTTCCTGAAGAGAATTTCAACTTATCAAATTACTAGAACCAGCTAACACACACCTGGGTCTTCTGTGGCCCCTGAGGGTCTGGTGGCTGGTGGAGTCAAAATGGAAGAAATGAACTTGTCGAACCAACAAAAGCATCGACTAATTCAGTCTCTTCTTATTAAATAAAATCTTTCAAACACCAGTTTAACGCTCCACCCGTCCTCCCAGCTACACCTCCCACTTATTTATCCCCCCAAGTCATATCGCACCCCCCCACCCCTGCTGGTTCGGCCCTGTCGGCATGTCACCGATCGATGTACCAAGCGGCTCCTCCACAAAGCGTCAGCCAGGGAAACCGATCAATAGGCCCTAATGTGGCGCAGCGACAGCACACTGGAGACAATAATCCTGACACCCCCCTCCTCCATGACAGCTACACACACGTCTCCACCTTCACCTCCCACTACATGACACCCCGTTGGCCGACAGTCCGACCTGACAGACGGGTCGGCTGGAGTCCCCGCGGATCGATAAACCCCGTCAAGGGCCTGTTGGGGGCCCCGCGTCCGTGGGATTGTCAGAGTTGAATTAATGCAGATTGGACTGCGGAGCGACTTTTATACAGAAAGTTACCTCACACTGAGACTGAGGGCCTCGGGGTGACGTCAGCTGTGACGAGAAGACAGAACTGCGGACGCTGCACATGCAGGTGTATGTATGTGAGCCTAATCTCGACCTTAACCCTGAAACAAAGTCTGGACCCTCAAACAACCCGTTAAAGAAGTGAAGGGAACACAAATGTCCATTTCCAAAAATATAGTCACTATCCAAAAATGTCCTCACGTTCTAAAAATATCTTCACTTTCTAAAAATGTCCTCACTTTCTAAAAATGTCCCCTTGTTATAAAATTTTCGCAGTTTCTAAAAATGTCCTCACTTTCTAAAAATGTCCCCTTGTTATAAAACATTCCTGACTTTCTAAAAATGTCCTCACTTTCTAAAAATGTCCCCTTGTTATAAAACATTCCTCACTTTCTAAAAATGTCCTCACTTTCTAAAAATGTCCCCTTGTTATAAAACATTCCTCACTTTCTAAAAATGTCCTCACTTTCTAAAAATGTCCCCTTGTTATAAAACATTCCTCACTTTCTAAAAATGTCCTCACTTTCTAAAAATGTCCCCTTGTTATAAAACAATCCTCACTTTGTAAAAATGTCCTCACTTTCTAAAAATGTCCCCTTGTTATAAAACATTCCTCACTTTCCAAAAATGTCCTCACTTTCTAAAAATGTCCCCTTGTTATAAAACATTCCTCACTTTCCAAAAATGTCCTCACTTTCTAAAAATGTCCCCAGGTTATAAAACATTCCTCACTTTCCAAAAATGTCCTCACTTTCTAAAAATGTCCTCACTTTCTAAAAATGTCCGCAATTTCTAAAAATGTCCCCTTGTTATAAAACATTCCTCACTTTCCAAAAATGTCCTCACTTTCTAAAAATGTCCCCTTGTTATAAAACATTCCTCACTTTCCAAAAATGTCCTCACTTTCTAAAAAATGTCCCCTTGTTATAAAACATTCCTCACTTTCTAAAAATGTCCTCACTTTCTAAAAATGTCCTCACTTTCTAAAAATGTCCTCACTTTCTAAAAATGTCCCCTTGTTATAAAACATTCCTCACTTTCCAAAAATGTCCTCACTTTCTAAAAATGTCCTCACTTTCTAAAAATGTCCCCTTGTTATAAAACATTCCTCACTTTCCAAAAATGTCCTCACTTTCTAAAAATGTCCCCTTGTTATAAAACATTCCTCACTTTCCAAAAATGTCCTCACTTTCTAAAAATGTCCCCTTGTTATAAAACAATCCTCATTTTCTAAAAATGTCCTCACTTTCTAAAATTATCCTCACTTTCTAAAAATGTCCCCTTGTTATAAAACATTCCTCACTTTCTAAAAATTGTCCTCACTTTCTAAAAATTTCGCATTTTCTAAAAATGTCCTCACTTTCTAAAATCACTTTATAGAAGTCTCCTAATTTCTGAAAAATATCTATATCACTATACAAACTGTCCTCACTGTCCAAAAATGCTGCCACTTCTCAAATATATCCTAACTTTTCCAAAATGTCCTCACTTTACCTTACAAAATCCTTACTCTCCAAAATGTCTTCTTTTATAAGGTGTCCTCACAGTGGAGGGCTAAAAGTGCAGCTGGTCCTCACAAAGATAGACATAACGAGGACACGCTCGCAGCAGAATGTGGACGTTAACACACAAACGAGCATGAAAGTGGACATGCAATCACACACTCACGGGACTCTTGCATCAGGAATGATGATGTATAAATATCGACCACCAAATCTACACACAGTATGTGGTGGGGGGGGGGGTCCCTGATGCAATCCACATCCCTCCTGGTCAAACTGGAGCATTTTAATCCAGAGGAACAGAGCCAGGATCAGGATCAATAATGCAGAAGTGGTCGTTATCCTAAAAGTATTGTCCCCCAGGGGTGTGTGTGCAGGGCGGAGGTCTGTTTTGACTATAAAGGTGGATGAGGTAGTGGTAGGTCATCGTAGAGGAGGGGGGAGCACATGCTCTTACTGGAGTTCATTTACAACCACCAGGGTATTACAAAAAGCTCCACACACACACAGAGCGGTCATCCGTCATCTGGACGCTGACATGACAGCTTCTCGGTGGGGGTGAGGAGGGGGGCGCCGCCCGCCATCTGGCAGGGGATTCTGGGAAGGCCTGAGGTGGCTGAGACCACCAAAAGGGGGTGGACTTGTGGGGGGCGGGGTGGGGGGCTGGAGGTGCAGGAAGTGGTTGGAGGCCGTATTTGACTTTGTTTTTGGTGCTGACGTCCAATCACAACTGGTTCACCAGTGCAGTAGGTGGTTCACCAGTAAAGTGAGTGAGGTGGTTCACCAGTGCAGTGAGGTGGTTCACCAGTGCAGTGAGGTGGTTCACCAGTACAGTGAGGTGGTTCATCAGTGCAGTGCAGTGAGGTGGATCACCAGTGCAGTGAGGTGGTTCATCAGTAAAGTGAGTGAGGTGGTTCACCAGGGCAGTGAGGTGGTTCATCAGTAAAGTGAGTGAGGTGGTTCACCAGTACAGTGAGGTGGATCACCAGTGCAGTGAGGTGGTTCATCAGTAAAGTGAGTGAGGTGGTTCACCAGGGCAGTAGGTGGTTCACCAGTGCAGTGAGGTGGTTCACCGGTGCAGTGAGGTGGTTCATCAGTGCAGTGAGTGAGGTGGTTCACCAGTGCTGTAGGTGGTTCATCGGTGCAGTGAGGTGGTTCACCAGTGCAGTGAGGTGGTTCATCAGTAAAGTGAGTGAGGTGGTTCACCAGGGCAGTAGGTGGTTCACCAGTGCAGTGAGGTGGTTCACCGGTGCAGTGAGGTGGTTCATCAGTGCAGTGAGTGAGGTGGTTCACCAGTGCTGTAGGTGGTTCATCGGTGCAGTGAGGTGGTTCATCAGTACAGTGAGTGAGGTGGTTCACCAGTGCAGTGAGGTGGTTCATCAGTAAAGTGAGTGAGGTGGTTCATCAGTGCAGTAGGTGGTTCACCAGTGCAGTGAGGTGGTTCATCAGTGCAGTGAACTGTGTCATCAGTGCAGTGAGGTGGTTCACCAGTACAGTGAGGTGGTTCATCAGTGCAGTGCAGTGAGGTGGTTCACCAGTACAGTGAGGTGGTTCACCAGTGCAGTGAGGTGGTTCATCAGTGCAGTGAGCTGTTTCATTAGTACAGTACAGTGAGGTGGTTCATCAGTGCAGTGAACTGTGTCATCAGTACAGGCAGTGAGGTGGTTCATCAGTACAGTGACTGAGGTGGTTCACCAGTGCAGTGAGGTGGTTCATCAGTAAAGTGAGTGAGGTGGTTCATCAGTGCAGTGAGGTGGTTCATCAGTGCAGTGAACTGTGTCATCAGTGCAGTGAGGTGGTTCACCAGTACAGTGAGGTGGTTCATCAGTGCAGTGCAGTGAGGTGGTTCACCAGTGCAGTAGGTGGTTCACCAGTGCAGTGAGGTGGTTCATCAGTGCAGTGAGGTGGTTCATCAGTGCAGTGAACTGTGTCATCAGTGCAGTGAGGTGGTTCACCAGTACAGTGAGGTGGTTCATCAGTGCAGTGCAGTGAGGTGGTTCACCAGTACAGTGAGGTGGTTCACCAGTGCAGTGAGGTGGTTCATCAGTGCAGTGAGCTGTTTCATTAGTACAGGCAGTGAGGTGGTTCATCAGTGCAGTGAGCTGTTTCATTAGTACAGTACAGTGAGGTGGTTCATCAGTGCAGTGAACTGTGTCATCAGTACAGGCAGTGAGGTGGTTCATCAGTACAGTGACTGAGGTGGTTCACCAGTGCAGTGACTGAGGTGGTTCACCAGTGCAGTGCAGAGTAAACTGGTTTTAAATGTGCGCTAAGCAACACCTGTAGATACCAAGATGTAACAGGACAAAAGTAAATGTCTCCATTTTTTGACTATCTGGGTTCAGGCGGCGCCAACCAAAAATAATTAATCTAATAATTAATTCATTCTCTCAAAATAATGTAACCTCAACCCTCCAACCCTCCAATATTTGAACTAATACAATTCATATTTAATGTTAAATATACATGTTTGTGTGCAACTGCGTCTTTTATGAAAATACCACTAGCAGTTACCACAATTCAGAACTTACAAATACTGGCTTTAAGACGTACAGGACTCTCACTTTTTAGGAAATAGTTTTACTGTTTGTGTGAATCTCTGTGTTTTCAGTAAGTCACCTTTCTCTCTGCGCTTCTGTCCCATCAGGCCATCCTGTACGAAGGTCAGGACAAGAACCCAGAGATGTGTCGCGTCCTCCTCACCCACGAGATCATGTGCAGGTAAGACCCGGGCAGTAATAAACCCATGATAATGATCTCACAGGAGGCTGTTTGGGGATCTGGTGCCTTGCTCCATGGCACTTTGTGCAGGACAAATGATTTGTTGATGGACCTGCAACTTTTTAATTTCTATTCTCAGGTGATCTGAAGCATCATTAAACATATGCATGGGATTTAAACACAGCGCGTTGTAATTATCGACCCACTGTGTGGTGTGTATGTGTGAGTGTGTGTGGTTGGGGGGTTGGTAGGGTACTGGATGTGTGTGGGGAGTGTTAATTATGCTGCAGAGGAAGTGTCTATGTGTATATTAACGGCGTAGTCGTCATGTCAGAGCCGAAAGATAAAAAACAAACACCCTTTGGTGTTGCACGGTGTAATTTTAGTACTACGTTCTGTACATTAAAGTCACATTTAGATGTTCAAGTACAGTTGTACTGTAGCTGAAGACGTAAATGTCAAGGTAATCAATGGCATGTGTTTTGAGTTTTAATTATTTTCTTTTCACACCAGGAAGCACCCAGAACACCTAGTAACCATTCGGAAAACTCTAGCACCCCCTGTCCCAACACCGAGCAACCACTTAACAACTAAAAAGCAGCCTTCTGCCGCCACGTTAACACATCCAGGAACCACTGATAGATGCTCGCCAACGTCTAGCCAATCAGAGCAGGCAGCTACTTTTTTATTACAGAACATTTTGCACTCCCCTCCAGCTCTCTCTGTAGCTCAGACAATCCCTGCTGCCTGCGTGTGCTGATCAGTTATTTCACACAGATTCTTTGCCTTTACAATTATTATCTTTATAATAATAAAGTCCGGTTTCGCGTCACTTTTCACGCGTCACTTTTCACGTGTGTTTTCTGGCCCAAACGTGGTTTGAAGACAGAGGCGTCGTCAGCTCGTGTAGTGTGTGGCCGCTCGTCGCCTTTTAGTAGGCTTTAGTAAAACTTTGGCAAACACGCCCACAAACCATATACCAGTCTGGCATCAAACACGACATAAAGCGCTGCTGCAAAAACGTTCTCACGCTTTTATTTTGTAGGCACAATCACTTAAGAGGAAGTGATTATGTGTGATATTTTGCCGACCACTGCCTTCAACCAACACTCGGGTCCGGCTGTATGAGTGGTAGATGGTATAAGTTACTCTGTGGTAGCTTCCCTACAGAAACCTCTGGATGTATTCGTCCTAGCGATGTTCTAGTTAGTCAAGTGCAAACACAGGTAACAAGGGATTTGGACCCCAGAAGTGCGGGACGGTGGGCAGCAGAGCAGGTACAGTTAGTGATATTTATTTTTGAAAGTTCCATCAAAGGAAGCAGTCCAAGGAATAAACATGAGTAAACAGGAATCCAAGGAACATAAAAATAAAAAGGTTAATCCAAAAAAGGAGACAGATTAATCGAACAACCAGGAGGAGAGACACTCAACAGCATAACCAACGAACCGACAAAACCCAGACTGATAGAGGGAACAGAGGAGGCAGGACGGCTGAACACACACAAACGATTATTGATTAGTCTGCTGATTATTTCCTAAAAATTACATGCTTACTGTAAATAATGTAAAAGGTATGTTTTAACATTTCTTTTATAAGGTAGATATAACGCATCAAACAGGCACTTCTGCTCAATATTAGAATTTTACAATCTTTCAATTCTATTATTTCGCTCTTCTGTAGATATTACTCTGCAAAGCTGCATGTATGAACATTTATATACGAAAGGTTGTGTGTTTGTTGTTTGTGTGTTTGTATCTATAAGAGGAAAAAAAGAGCAGCTGTTGGTTTGTCGTTCATCACACCAATCAACACGTTCCCTGCCCTGCGTGTCTCTGCTGTCGTCTGTGAGTTAATGGTTTTACTGGTTCAGATGAAGGAGTGAAGAAGAAGAAGAAGATGAAGAAGAAGATGAAGAAGGGGGGGGGGGGGTAAAAATAGCACACGCATATAAAAAACACACATCTGAAGCGTTGGCAGTTTTTCTCTTCGTGTAGACGAGAAAACACGTTTAGATTTTACATTAAATTAATTTAGTTCAGCTCTGATGAAAACAACTCCGCACTGAACTGGTTAATGTGTAAAGTCAAAAACTGGTTATAATTATATAATAAATGTGGAAGAACCTGGTTTATCTGTAAACAGGTTTCTGTCGGCAGCTAACTGATGTATTTGTTAAGTAAACAGGTTTACATTTAAACTAGTTTAAACTGGTTTCATTGTGGAGTAAATTTGAATAAATTGGTAAATGTACAGGCAGTAAACTGGTTTACATGTGCAGTACACTGTATGCAAACTGGTCTAAATGTGGAGTAAACTGGGGGATGTGCAGAGTTAACTGGTTTAGGAGTGCTGTTGTATTGGTGTGCGGTAAACTGGTTTACATGTAAACTGGATCAAGTGTGCAATATGGTGGTTTACATATAGATAAATGAGAGTAAACTGGATTATAAACTGCTTTATCTGTTGTGGAAGGTGTATTTGTTGTTGTTGTTGTTTGTTAAACGGGTTTACATACAAACTGGTCTAAATGTGGAGTAAACATATAAACTGGACCAAATGTGCTAAAAGGTGGTTTACTTATAAATAAATTGGAATAAATTGAATCATATGTCAACTGGTTTAAATGTGCAGTAACTGGTTTATCTGTAAACTGGTTTTTTGTCTGCAGTTAACTGGTATTTTTGTAGAGTAAATAGGTCTCCATCTAAACTGGTTTAAATATGAAGTAAACTGGTTTAGTGTAAACGTGGTTACACTTGGATCATATCTGGTTTACTATGGACTGAACTGGTTTGGATGGAAACAGAGTCTTAACTTGTCGTCAGACTGGGTCAGAGTGTTTTACTGGGTTTCCAGTGGAAGAGATGAGCGTTCCCAGTTCCTGCTTCGGGCTGCAGAACAGAAACCGGTGTGAGGTGTTGAACAGTCCTGTCGTTCGACCTCTCATCGTTCACCTGCTCTGTGTTTTCTCTCCTTCTCCTCCTCACGCTGAACGCCAGTATCTCCACACTTCCCTCCTCCTCTGACTTTTTATCGGGGCGTCGAGCTCATTTCCCCCCTGCGAGATGCCTTCGATACGAGCTTCATTTCCATAATGACGGCGGGCTGTCTGCGTCTCGGAGCTTCAGTCATTATGTGATTGAGTGCGATTATTAAGCAGCTTTCCCCCTGATGGATGCTGTGTTTCCATTCGCTAATGAGTGAGGGATCAGAGACCGGCTCACTCTTTCCATCTCTGTCTCTCTGGCCTCAGGGCTCCCAGGTGTCTTTACGGGCGTCCCTGTTGGTTTGTCTACCTGGATCACACTCACCTGGCTGCACCTGTTTCAGTGCCTACAGGTGGAGGACGTCCCTGTTTTCACTTTCTCCATCTTATGTTTAAGCTACAGCTGAAGTTACTGAGGAGATAAATGCGGCTGTTGTCAGGTAGAAACCTTTAGGCAGCTTTGTTTCAGCTCAGAGACACAGTGATCCACTGGTAGGTGGATGCAAGACTATCAGGCATTATAAAAATCACTTGTTCACATAAAGATTGAGCTTTAATAAATGGTTATTTATGTGTAGAATAGGCCTGTCAGTGTTTGTGAGGCAGTTAGGACTCTTATTTTGGTTTTATTTATTCGTTTTGTTTTAAAATCAGTTTCAGCAATCTGTTATGTTTTCCTGCAGATTTTAGTATTCGCAGCAGTTCAGAGCTGTTTTAGAGTTTTCAAATGTCCCTTAACCTTATCAATAACCTCTGCTGACATGCAGTGATCATGTTTTTACAGTAGTATTTGTAGTATGTGCTGTAAAAGAAGTATTGTGTAGTACAGCACAGGGGTGGTAATTAACTCACCTGCCAAGGTGGCTGGAAGATGAAAACATCCGCCGGCTGAAGTAATAAATGGCCTTTTGTGTCACATATAGATTCGTTTCCGTCCTTGTAATTAAGATAATGTCAAACCCAAACTTCAAGAAGAGGCCAGAGTGAAATTTGAAGAAAAATCATATTATTGCTATTAAATGTACTTAAAACAGAACAATAAATTGTTTTATAAACTTACAGGATGCTTATTAATCATTCAACTGAAACCTCCTCGTCAGACTGCTCACTTTCTACAGTCAGCCTCTTCTGGCCTCCTGGTTCTGACAGGGTCCTGGTTCTGACAGGGTCCTGGTCCACAGCATCACCACTTTAGTGGGATCAACATTTATTATACAGCCTATGGATTATTCTCTTTGATCTCTGGGGAGGACAGCAGGACCGTTAGAAGACACTGACAGGACCGCCGACTATCAGCTAAAAGCTGAAAACTCTCCTAGTACAACTTTTGTGATCAGCTCCAAACACTAGCAGCTTTCACGCTGCCTTGTTTCACGGGGGCATTGCACCAATCTTTCAGCTCCCTGCAGTTTTTGAAAGGCATGGAGCAGATTTTATTTGTCTCTGAGCAGGGAAAGTTGGGGACAGACACGAGACAGAAAGACGGAACGATCTGTTTGTGAAAAGCTGCAGCCGACATGCCGCGGCACGCCGCTGCTTCCCGTGGAGCCGGGCCGCCATGTGAAAGCACACACGGTTGTGGGATAAAGCTGCAAACTTTCTTTCGTTCTTTCCGCGCTGATCTCCGTATGAAAGTCACTTGTCCCCGAACGCCCTTACAAATCTACGCCAATCAAACACAAGTAACATGAAAAGAATCTGTGTGTTACACGATTTCAGACCCCTTGGTACATCGGGGACCAGTTTAAGAGCGACACACAACCAACAAGAACGCCGGTCTGCTGCTAATTACCGTCAAATAGAAATTATATGGTGAGATCATGGCGAATGTATTTACCCGTCAATGTGGCGGATAGCCTTCCACCATTTGGCCGCCAAACAGATAATCAGATAATAGTAGAAGTGTAAGAGTTCCTGTGTGTAAACAATGTGAACGCTCTTTCAGCGGCCAGTCTTTGTTCATTTTCTATTTTTTCTGGGTTCTCAACAGTGACTTGAACTATTTAAAGTC